GAAACCTCACTTTTTTGATGTTCATTAATTACTGTCCCTCACTTAATCATCAGCAGCCAACTTCATGTAGAAATAATAAGCTCTGCTGACAGGCCGTTAAAATATTTGCTCATCTAGCCGTCATAAAGCTGCATCTCATCACTTTGCCATCCTTTCCGTTACACTGTGGCCACCCCAGTTGTGTCTATGGCCCCAGGGGTGGGGGATACACACAGCCAGCGATTCACCCAGACTGTGAAACCCGCACAAGTACAGGACATGCAGCCTCCAGGTGGAGGCTCAAGCCCACAACCTGATGTCAGAGGCAACTATGCAGTCAATCATTTCCATCATTTCCATCTTCCGCCACCCTCCATCCCAGGCAGCACAGGGCTTAGGGTAGGGCAATTAGCCAATTAGAAATCCCCACAAATGCAGTGCAGGGCCAGGATTCGAAAACCCCAACCCTGAAGGCATGGAGCATTTCCATATTAGGCTTCATTTCCTGGTTATAGGGCAGACACCGCTCTACTACATGCAGAAAGCATGCCGTACCCTGTCTGCAGAACCTTCCAGAAACACGCCCCATTTCATTTTTACTTGATGCCTCAAACAGAGTGTTTTGTTTGTCCTGTGATTAATCTGAATCGGTCAATCATTAACGACGCAGAGTGCTCTGAGTAAGCTGGCTCCATTCAGGCTCTGTTAGGGTAATTAAAGTCATTGATTTCTGAAAAACATAAGCTCTGATTGTATCTCCTGCCCTCGGCGAGTGATATGGTCCAAGCCCCGGGTGCGAACAGGCCTTCACGCGCTTCAGTGCTCTGGTACCCTAATGGAAATGTCAGCCTTCTTTAAAAAGTAAAGCATACTTCCTTTGCTAATTTCTCGCTTTGATGTTCACTGGTGATGAAGGCTTCCTGAACGGTGGAACCAGCCATGCTTTACAAGCCGCTCTTCAGTGGGGGACTTTCACACTGATTTGAAGGTTTTTTCGCAAGTTTGATGCGGTTCTCGACAAACCGGGCACTATAGCATCACTTACGACCAGCGGAAAATTAAGCTGTCACAGGATGCTAAGCGTTTGTGTACAGTGTCCAGAATGAGATGTTCATGTTAAATTTGCTTGTGGTCACTGGTGTGGCTTTAATTCTTTGCCTGCGCGCTGCTTACACATCAGAAAATCCATCGCCAGATCGTGGGCTGCCTGTGGAATAGTTCTCAGAGCAGCCTGGAAGAATGAAAGTGTCTGATCCGAGAGGGTGTGTTCGACGCGGCTAGAATGAAAGGGGGAGTCTTTCCAGAAGACTACAGGCACGGCTCACCATGTTAGGATCATCTCGCTTCTGTTCAGGGACCAATTAGTCAGATCTGAGGCCAGCAACGCCAGGGAGGCCTCTCTCAGTGGTGATTGTTTTCACGTGATTACGACCATCTCTGACAGTGCGTGTAAGGATACGGCCTGAATCAAGCGGATGGAACTGCCTAGGAAGCAGTCACTCCCCTATACCTTCTCCAAATAAAATGGCTCTAGGAAACTAATAAACTCTTTCCTTTTAGGACTTGAACTTTGAAGCAGCTCCCCAACATGTCGAGATCAAGTTTGAAGGCCTTCACCTGGCTACTTTGTTCCTTCTGTTTAGACCATCGGTTTCATCGATTTTCCCTTCATAAAAATTAAAGTAAGAGGTGACCACTGTTTGCATTGCCCTGCAGTAGATTGGTGTGGCTCGCCGTCTTCAAAGCCCCCGTCGATAATTCCCTATGAAAGCAGACTTCCTCACTGCGGTTAAGCTGCACGTTTCGTTTTCCAATTAAGCGCACTGGCAGGTTGTCCATCAGGCCGCGAGTCCCTGAGCTCCAGGCTACGTATAAATACGGCGACTCTACCTCACCGTCACTCCGTCCAATTTTCTCATTCACTCGCCTGCAAATTGCATTACTCCGCCATCGCTATATTTGTCCTTAAAATTTTTATGCTACATTTGAAAATATTTTTGACCCACCCCTGGGCTTTCATCTGCGTGTAATGGAAGCTGAATCTGGGGGTGCGGACACCACTCTGCAGAGGCGGGTGCAGAAACGCCCCTCCCACTTGGGGGAAAATGCGAGGAAAGGCTACCAGAGATAGGAAGGGTGCACACTGGTGTTCAGCAGGGATTTTGAAACTAAACACACACCTTTGCGACACACGGATGCTTCCAGAAGTGGGGGTTCAGGCTACTGCTGGTATGGGAGGAAAAAAATTAAAATGGCCGCTTGAATTAAATGTCATTCTGCTTTCTGTATTGGCCATAGAGCAGCGTGCGGTACATCACAAACGTAAACACACCAGTATGAGTACACAAAGTAACAATTTCACACATTTTGGCTATGAGAAATGTAACTAATTACCTTTTTGAAATTAAACAATGCAATTACTACTGAAATGTAAATGGAAAATTGTCTTTTGTCTTGCTTGAAAATATTAATAGACAAATGCAGCCTATTCCCCTAGTTTCCTGTTTATGATCTAACGTCATCCAACCTTAGAGTGGCGCAATGAATGGGTGATATTAGATACAGTGACAGATGAAATTTGACAGTTGTATTGTCTTGTACTGAGTCACAGCAGCAACACTAAAATAACTACCAGACAGCACACATGCATCGGCATGATGTCTCCGCGATGCTTGGAAATCCATCGGCAAAGCATCTCTATGTCACAGAGACATCGCTACTGAATATTGACATTTCCCCTGATGTCTGTGCAAGGTATTTTAACAGTAACACAATGTTAATGAGATCACTATGCGAAGTTTAGCCTTTTGTTATTTTCCCATTAAGACTATATAATTTACAATCAGCCCATATATTTTTTATATAGTATACGGTACATTTGTTCCGTTTTTCCTGCATGTGGCTATACTGTTTAAAATGGTATACCAAACAAACAATTTAACTGATTAAAAGTTATACATTTATTATTTTAAATATTAACATGACAGAAACTGTAATAACAGGCCTAACAGTTATGCTGAACTGAATAAAGCAAAATTGGGAGAAAAAAAATGCACTCGCTGAAACACACATTAGCGTATGTAACCATTTAAATATTGTTAATAGGCCTAAATGGAACACTATCATTTAACAATTTTCCGATCTAAAACCAAAGTATGTGTGTTTTCTAGGTATTAATAAGAGAATTGAAGTAACACAAAAGTTACCTTCCCTAGTAACTAATTACTTTTAAATGCAGTAAGTAATTATTTTTAAATGAAGTAACAAGTAATTAATTACTAATTTTCAGTAACTTTCAGTAATGGTTACCGTGTCCCGTGCGGGACAGACTGCAGACTCACTCGTGTAGCACACAGTAAGGCAGTGAGGCTATGTTTATGTTATCAAATTCAAATTAATTGTTCATTTAGTAAAGAGTTAGCCAGCCTCATGCAAGGACTGCACTGCTGACATCATCAAAGTCAGTGCAAAGCAACCAATGGGCTTGCTGATATGCAAAAGAGTACCAGCATGCATGATTATGAGTTATAGGCCCTGAAGATGTTATGATTCTACAGAAGTTTGACGTTCTTATTAAAGGCCTTTTATTAAAGGTCTTACCTCCCAACAGCATGTTGTCCATTGTGCCATTATTTTATGCTTCAACGAAAAAAGCCCCACTGCACCGAAAATGTGTGGCATCCCCTTATGCTGCAGATCAGCTCCGAAGATGTGTGGCATCCCCTTATGCTGCAGATCAGCTGTTACAGGATCTCCTGGGAATGTGAAGCATATCAGAAAAGCAGAGCTCCCCCCACCACATTCATACACACTGACAGAGTGGCGTGCCCCCCTCCATCAAAGACTCCTGACAGATGATTGTGAATAAGGCAGCCTGCTTCTCTGCTGGGGGGTGGCCAGACTCAAAGCTCCTGCCCTTCTAGAAAACACTACAGTGTAAGATGTGCAGGTCCTTTCTTAAACAGAACTCTACAGGACGACACAAGATAGCAATCTGGGGTATTCTGCTGGCAAGAACCGCAACGAGAAACCACCAAGACACACTCACCGAGCAGCGCTGTGCTGAGGTGCCACTCGCCTCAGCTTGCCAAAATGGACCCCCTACCACTCCAGCCCCATTGACTTTAGCCTGGAGTTTAACAGGGAATGATTAGTGGATTGACTACAGGTGTGATGTCTGAGCAGCTGTATCCACTCCAGCTGCTTCTGCAAGCCGTGCCGGCCTGGGAACTCCAGGGTTGCCAGATTGGGCCAGGAATTACTAGGCTCCTGCTACCCTTAAAGGGGAATCCGTCAGACTTGTACCTGATGGGTTTGGATTTCATGGCAGATTTCAGAGTGAATCTTGAAACCACCTCTTACAATTCAGTTCACAAGATGAGGAGAATAATTACCATACAATGGAAATTAGACCATTTCATTTCTTTGTGGTGATGGAACTGTATTTTCCATTTTCTTAGCATTCTCTTGATGCCTTATGGTGTATAATTAGGGAGGAGCAGGAACCGCAGAGTGAGCCCACATGGAGCCCTCGTGCTTTTTGTCCCTGCGGGGGCCACATATACTAATGACAGCACTGATGAATGGCTTGTCTTTTTTCCCATGTGTGCAGTGTGTGACAGGGGCTAAGGCTGGGGGGGGGGTGCCAAATGTAAATGGTGCATTTTTGTCCCACCTGGGCTCATCTTGTGACTTCCCAGTCCTGTCACCCTCCTCTTCCCAGATTTCTCACCATCTTTTGCTAAATCACACACCAGCAATCACTCTCAAATGAAAAACATAAGTAGCTTTAACCTGAACCCCAAATGGTAGCCATTTAAATGAGATATAACCCTTTAAAATATAAGCAAAAGCTAAGCCTTTAGAATTTATTTTTCAAATAATGTTGTGCTTAAATAGACCAGTAAGAGCATCTACTGTCTTTCATCTTGCGTTCTGATAGGCTGTGCTGCTTGTCACATGACGGTGTGATTGGGTGAGCAGTACATTTAATTAAAGTCACATGATCATCTCATGCACAGGACTACAACGACGAGATCCGGCAGGAGCAGCTGAGGGAGCTGTCCTACCTGAACGGGTCGGATGACGGCAGCCGCGGGAGGAGCGTGCGGGGGCGGGGCTTGCGGCTAACCTCCACAGCAACGGCAAGGTAGTCCATCACAACCTCGGCCGGCTCAATTGTGCGCAGGCCTCAATGACTCAGGGCAGTTACAGGATTCAAAATAGTCTGTCCCCGCTAGTGATACATGTTTTCTCAAAAGTATCATTTCCATTTCAGCTAGAATATCTGAGGTGATGTTTATTTAATCATGTACTACAGTACCAGTCAAAAATCTGGACCTACCCATACAAAGATTTATTTGTACTATTCTGTATGTTTTAGAATAATTACAAAGACACAGAAACTATAAAATAACGCATATGGAATTATGCACTGACCAGAAAGAATTACACAAAAAAAAGCTTTATGGCTTAGGACTGGGAAGGTTGCCAGTGCTGCACAGTGGTGCACACTCATTAGCCGCTTTTCCTTCTGATACGAGTGAGATGAGTGCACGCTAATGGCAATCAGGAATGTGGACCCCAAAACCAAGTCATACAACACTATCACGCTCCTTTGTAGGTGGCTTGGTGTGTCAAACTTATGACTGGTTCTGTATGCCATCCTTCTGGTAAGGTTTGAGATTATCAGTGTTTGTATTCCAACTGGCAGATATTCCATGGCAAATGTGTGACGTAAATGCCCGGTAAAAATCTCATGTTCACTGACAGTTTCAGGTGATAGCAGCACAAAACAGGGTCCGCCCTCCCTGAAGCTGCCTCATCCAATCTCACTGTCCTCCCCACTCACGCCCCTCCTCACTCTGCCCGCATCCCTGATTGCCATTAGCGTGATTGGGCACCCATCTCACTCGCACTTCTGCTGATTATTCATGTCTCAAAAACTCTTTATATTTTTGAGCACCACATACTAGGTGACCATAAGACCCTGGAACACCAGCCTGGAATACGTTTCTCTAGCAAACAGGGGTGGGCAGAGAAGGTCCATCATCCCTCACATCCTGCATTTGCAAAGCCAGAGCTACCATGTCATTCTCAGCTGATGCATCCCAGCATCTCCCCAAAGTAGCGGGACGGACATGAATGGAGAAGGGAAAATCCCTTTACGGAGTTGTTTGCTTCTGAGCCAGCGGAGTGGGTAGAGGATGACTTCCTTCTCACACGATGACTCCCACAACACCTCAGCAAATTGGGAAGCTGAGTTCTTAAAGATGGCAGCCCATGTTTATGCCCGTGCCTCCTGAAGTACTGGCCCGTGGTAGTCTGCGTGACCCTGCTGGTCATTTCCCGTCTGTCGGCAGCTGATTGGTCGGAGCCTTTCAAGGAGTTATAAAGGACATAAAGTGTCAGCAAGGTGCCTGTGAGGCCATTTCAGAACCCAGACCCTCCTCTGAACCGTTTGTGTGCTCACTGACATGTTTGTAAATGGACCTTGATACCCATGAAGATAGAGTGATGCCCCACATCACCCTACTGCCCTCTGACTGACCCTTAAATGACCTTTAAATGCCTCTGACTGACCTCTGATTCATTTTACCCCTCACACCAGGGGACAGAGTGCAGTTACCCCACTCTCCCCCTTGTCATTGACCCTCCACATCACCCTGCTGCCCTCTGACTGACCTCTAAATGACCTTTAAATGCCTCTGACTGACCTCTGATTCGCCCCTCAGACCGGGGGACAGAGTGCAGTTACCCCACTCTCCCCCTTGTCATTGACCCTCCACATC